GACATAGTATATACATGCAACAACAATAAACAATTTACTTTATTATTGTTTATCCCTTATCTATATAATTTACGATATATATATATATATATATCTAGATAGATAACAATAGATAATTATATTTCACGATAATTTTCTTACGGTGTTCTGGTAATGTACGAAAAAAAAAAAAAAAAGAAAGAGAGAGAGATAAATAATATCTTGAAAAGTTCACACACAAAAGAAGCTTTAAAACTCTTAATATTTTATCATTTATTGTTAACTTTCTAATCGCACATTAAATTATCTATCTATAGGAGAAATGAGTCATAATAAATTCTGTAGAATCGTTGTATGCGTTAGTTAATACGATAGAGATAAACAATCCCATTCTTACCATACGTCGAACAGAACCAACTATAATAGAGGAGCTTTCTTCCTTTTGATGATGACGTATAGTCAAATACTCGCGTGTTAATAAACATGATATAATTTCTCAGTTAAAACACAATGATAATAATACTTCTTTTATGATTCATATGGTATATAAAAAAAAGAAAAAAAAAAAAAATATATAAGAAGAACAAATTGTTCCAATAAATAATAATATCACGATAATCGATTAATTACAGAAGACTTTGAACTAAATCGGCGAATTAGAAAAAAATACAAATCTCATTCTTGGGATGATAAACAACACATATATTCGTTTATTTGATCGATTATCTGTCTCCTTTCAGGATAAGCTTTTACAATGTTGTTGTCAATATTTTCCAATCATTCTTCGACTAATCGTTAAAGAAGGCTGACGTTTCTTCCTTAGAGAGAAAAACAAAAACAGAAATAGTTTTCTAATTGTTATTCGTGTAAATAATGTGCATTCGTGTATTTGCAGTGCCTTTTTCAAATGCAAGATTGTATTAATATATATATATGTGCATAACAAATTGAAATATATTCGAGTTAAATGTTTGTAAAACCTCAGTAGTTACACACTATTCATACTTTTATTGTTCTATTCCTCTCTTCTTCTTCTTCAGTTGTGAAAGTTGTGTTGTGTATCACATACCTCGTGAATTTCTCTTCTCGTCTGATTGTATTTGCTCTTTTTTTTTTTTTTTTTTTCTTTTTTATATATATATATTATCCCTTTCATATATTTACCACTCAGTTTTCGAGAATCGTGTGTTGTTTCCTTTCATTTCGCACTCGTATACTTTCATCGGATAGAAAACGTGTTATATCGATTGATTAACATTTTATACGAAATATTTGTTATTCGTATAATGAAGGAAAAAACGGATCAAGATGATGAGATACATATGACAACGGTAAGCTTATTTTTACTAATTAATTATTTAATATTTTATATACAATTCATTAATCAATTTGTTTAATTGTGCGTTAAAACTGTGATCTACCATGTTTTTTCAAATATATATTTACATTTTGTATTTTGGACATTCTTTTAGGTTAATTATATTTCAGATAATTATATTCTACTTTATTTTTCTTTTTTTTTCACATTGTTTTTAATCATTCTTTCATTTCCGTTTGAAAATGTAATTTTACTTAATATGTATATGTTTATGTATATTATCTATATATGTTAAAGAACGTAAACAAATTATCATACGTCGCTTTTATAATACCGCGAAAATACAAATATATTTATCAATTCAAAGTGATATCACGTTTCCTGGTCTTTATCATCTTCGAGGTTATTCTTTACGACTTTTCAGTTTTGTAATTTTTATCGCGTTTTAAGGTTAACTTCCTGTGTTTCTCTATATTTATTCTTCTGGAAGTTTCTATAATTACTTTTTTTTTTTTAATAGAAATTACTCATTGATAATGCGTTTAACTTGGATACAAAAGTTATTGTAAACTTGTATATTTACATAATGATTATTTAATGAAAATATGCGATTAAAAATAAATGTTTCATTTTCTATTTTCACTTACAGCCTGAACTCATAGAACATCACGGTTATATATCTGAAACTCATTATATTTGGACGGAAGATGATTATTGTCTAACTGTACATAGAATCATAGGACCCAAAACATCTAATGTACAATTGACAAATTCCAATGTCACATCTAACACAGAACAAATCGTTACTGATAACTTAGAAAACTCTACTCTATTGAATTTAAACAAATCGATCAATTCTGAAAATAATTCTTCACCTAGACCGCCAGTTATAGTAAATCATGGAGTACTTTCCAGTTCTGCGGATTGGGTTTTGCTTGGACCGCAGAAAGCTCTTGGTATGAGATTTGAAGAAATTGATTATGTTTAATGAATTACAAATAAAATTGAATCTTTTATTTATATTTATATTATGTTTATTAGCATATACTCTGTGTCAAGCTGGTTATGATGTATGGTTGGCAAATGCACGTGGTAACGCGTACTCCAAGAAGCATAAAATCTATACACCGAAGAACAGAGAGTTCTGGGATTTTAGGTATTTTTTGTTCCAAATATTTTTCATTCGTAAACTTAGAGATATATTATTTGTTCATCATTGAATTACAGTTATCACGAGGTAGGGTATTATGATATACCAGCGATAATAGATTATGTTTTGGAAAAAACTGCCCATTCGGAACTGTCTTATATTGGCTACAGTCAAGGGACAACTGCTTTTTATGTAATGGGAAGCGAAAGACCTGAATATAATGCCAAAGTTAAAGTAATGGTCAGCTTAGCGCCAATAGCTTTTTTATATAACCAGCAAAGTCCTTTACTCAAATTAGTAGTGCATTTTTATAATTTAGTGGAGGTAATACAACGTTAATTATTTCTTCTTTTATTCGTCACGCTTGTTTTTTTTTTATAATTACGATAAATATGTTTCAGTGGGGTTCTTTTTATTGCAATATACATCAGTGGTTCCCTTACAGTAAACTTCAAGCACGTGCAGTTAGTACGATTATTCGTAATGCTCCTCCCGTATTGACAAACACTGTTTGCAATTGTTGGTTCCACATAATTGCTGGATTTGGTAGTAATCAACTCGACAAAAATATGTTTCCTCTAATTTTTGGACACTTTCCAGCTGGTGCTTCAGCCAAACAGATTATTCATTACAGTCAAGCAATTGTAACAGGTATTGAAAAATAACAAACACCGATGGTTTCGATAACTTTTAATTATATTCAACTTGTCATTTTATTTTCTTTAAGGATCATTTAGAAAGTTTGATTATGGGATTAACCAAAATTTAAAAAGATATGGTTCCACTCAACCACCGAAATATAATTTAAGAAAAGTTAACGTTCCAGTGGCTATTTTTTATGGAGAAAATGATTCTTTAACGCATTATTTGGTAGATAACTCGCTATTTCAATTTATTTATCTTAAATTTGTATATTGTCACGATTATTCATTAACATTTGTTTTACAGGATGTGCAAAAAATTATGGACGAGTTACCTAATGTAATAGAGACGAAGAAAATTGAATATTCGAAATTTAATCATGTTGATTTTCTATGGGGGAGAGATGCCAAAACACTTGTTTATAATAGCGTTGTAGCAGTATTAAAACGATTCTAATTACACTTATAAATATTAGAATGCATTTTGGAAAAAATGATTATTATATATATATATATATGAAAAGAATTCATATCCAAATAATAAGAAAGATATGCATTTGTAAAAAGTTGATCAAAGGACTCCGGAAAGCTCAAAGATTAGAACAGTCATTCAGAAAGCAGCAAATCCGAGTTCGAGTTCCAGTTAGTCCAGTTAGTCCAATGGCCTAATTTTTTCGTGAATCGTACATATTTATATATAATGGATATTATTTATATATAATAGGTGTACATATATTTATATCGATATTGTTAATAAATATATTATAAATAATATGTTCTTATAACAATATTATAATATCATAGAAAGATATATAAGAAACAACGTGCTTCCATGAAGTAGTAGTACTCTTTATATATAATATATAAAATTTCATTTCCTATGATATTTGTATTATAATATAAATGTGGTATAATAATAATAATAATAATAATAATAATAATATAACTAAAAATGTATCTCATATAATTCATAGTAAAATATTTTATTAAAAATATGTTACACATTATATCCTGTTTAACAAAAAATTATACAGATGCCAAAATTAAATATACGAATTAACGATTAAGTAAAGAGATTTCGAGAATCATTCATTTCCAGCACATTATTTTAAGTAAATAATTAACATTAATTATAAATGCTATTTTCATAATTATATCGACTTATATTAAAACGTATTGCAATTAATTACAGTTGAAAACAATCTAATTACACATCAACGGAATGTTTCTTTTTTATATAGCACATGATAGTATACAATGTTATTACATGTTTTCTACCTAGTATATTAAAATATTTTGTATATCGTTTAGTTTCCAAGAAAAAACTTCAGTCTTTAAACGCTAATTGTAATTCTTTTTTTATTTCATTTTATTAAATGCTTCCAAACACGGCCAAGAAAAAAAATTTTCTTCTGTCAAATCCATAAAAAATTATTTAACAAAATTCTATATCTATTGCTAATATTATTATTATTATTTTCTTTTCGTTAACAGGAAATATTTTTTATATTTGACGAATTAATATGGAAATACTTAAAAATAAATTGTTAACTGTATATATATATATATTTTTTTGTTTTTGTTTAAATTGGAGAGAGAATATAGTAGTAATATATTTGAATATAGTAAAGAGAAAATTGAAAACTATACCATATATATGTCTTCCGTTCTACTACTCGTATCGTTATTTCTTAATAATATAATTTTGAATTATTAATAATAAATAAATCATATAGATCTCTTTTCAAATCAAGAAAAATTTATAATTGATATATTGTAATGTGCATTAACAAATGTATATCTTCACCGCGCGATTAAATTAAAAGTGGAATATTATTTATTTAATAATTATATCTGCGATGGAATGTTCGATTTTTATATCCTCTTAAATAGCAATAATAATGATAATTCGCTAGTAGATACAGTTGTATAAAAAAAAAAAAATATTACATAATATTACGATTGAATATTATTAATCTTATTATAAAATACAGTTACATTTTTCATGCCATTTTATAGAGAATTTAACTTTTAGAAGATGTTTAAATATACATACTTGTTATATTACAAATCTTTTAATACGGGCACATATGTATATGTATATGCATGTATAAATTTTGACAAATTTGCAAACGAATATAAAAGCATGTAATATGTAATTTACATTACATAGATCAGGATTTCTCAAAATTTGACTCGCAACTCCATTTAGGGGTCACAGGAATTTAAGCAAAAGTAACCAATTTTTGGACGTACACAACGATAGAAAATTAATTTAAAAATAGTACGTCAGTAAATTTACGATATTGAAAGAGGAGATACTATAGAATCTACACTCAAAGTCGCAAAAATATTTGCTCGTGTAAATGGGAATCGTCAAGTGGAAAAGTTTGAGAAGCCCTGATATAGATTCTCATTCTAAAAGCGTTTGAAAGGAGTACATAAAAAAGCATGAAAAATAAAAGATCTTTTCTTTTCTTAATCTTCTTTTGTAAAAATTAAAATGTTAGTATTATAATATCATAGAGTATTATTTATGTATATATATTAAATGATATTATTATCGATATATTAATGCTCTATATCATTTATCTATACTTACTAACTATAATATCAATAAAAACATAGATCTCAATTCGATTTTTAATTGTTCAATATTATTCGTGTGCGTTCTAAAAAGATCTCAATGTCATATGTTGTACAAAAGATAAAGCAAAAACAATAAAATAAAAATACTGTGTGTTTACGCTACGCAAAAGTTTGTAAGAAAAAAACAATTATATTTTTGACATAGATTCTCTGTTACGTACGCGAAAGATCAAATTTTTCACCTGCCGGTTTCTTTTATTAGCGATTTCATTTTTCGTCCTATCAAATAATTAAAAATATTACGAAAGTATATTACTTTCCTGGTACGTAGAATTACAACAAGGAAGAAAAATAAAAACGAGATAAACGTTTGGCAGTTAAGTACCACGCAATTCTAGCTTCGTACGAGATAAGAATATTTTTTTTTTATCGACATACAAAACGTTTCTCTTTTTTTCTTTTCTTTTTTTCTCTTCTTTTTTCCTTTTTTTTTTTTTTTTATCAACAATTCAAATAGTTTAACTCTGCGAATGCAACGCCTTCCTTGCATGCACGTATCACGCGCAATGTATAGTTTGTGAATGAAGTTTTGAATATAGTTTTCTACACTCATTTCTTATATTTTTTCTATTAAATGCTATGAGCATTTTGTTTGTTTGTTTTTTTTGTTGATATCTTACATGCAAATATTATTAGCTTTTTGTCTCTTCTATAATTTATTAATAATTATACTTACAAAGATTGACGAGGAATGTTTGTTACATTATGCGCGCGTTCAAAGGGAATTCAAACTTATTGACTCCTTCTTCCTTTTCTTTTTCAAAAAATTTGTACAAATAGATTTATCTTCATTATTTTTTCCCTTCTTTCTTTTTGTTTGTTTTCTGTTTATTTTTCTTATACGCTCTTTCCCTCCATTTGTCTCGAAGTTATTATTTTTGATCGTGTGTAATAATACTTGAATAATTATATATACTAACATATTTCGCTTTGAATTCTACTTTTTCTTATAACAATATACGCGTATTAACAACGTAAGGCTGATGAAAGCTTAGTTTCAATAATATTCAGTATTTGAAATAGCGCGATCGCGATGCGAGATATTAATCATTCTCTTACGATTATTCGAACACCGAATGCTAGAAAAATTGTACGGAGAGACGATTATATTATAAAAAAGAAGTATTATCGCGTGCGAAGACTGGAAAGGCCTTTATGATGCATTTTTGTCTCGCAATATCTTTGTTTATTTTTTTTTTCTTCGTCATATCTATTAGTTCAACATTATACGTTTTGAATGAAAATTGTTTAAATACGATATCTGTAATATATATTTTTAAGATCGATAGGATTAGTAACTACGATAATCTATATCGTATCTAAGAAATAGATACATTTAAAGCGAAAGATGATATATATATATATACTCTACTTTTTGTTTTACATGCACTTGTTGTATCAATTCAGGCACGAATGAATCGTCGCAGCGTCGCTCGAGCACAACGAACCCAGCCTTTGTGTATTGACAAAGGTATTGGCAATGATTCGATGTTCAAAGTAGGCGGATGGTTCTGTCATGTGCAATGATCACCGTATGCTGTCCAACGTGCATCATCGCTCTCATGTGTTAAATAACGGTATCCTACTTTATTTTCCAATTCTCTTAAATCACACCATGTTTGATAATCCTATTAGACACCAAGAATATTATTAATGTACTAATTACTTAGGAAAATAAATCGACAATATCTATTATTTCATTTTTCTTACCTGCAACCAAACATGTTGTAAACTTTTATCTACCGTATATCTCTTTCTTTGCTTTACTTGTAATAAATTGTTTATTAAATCGATAGCTGTGAAAATAGTAGACATCGAATTAAAATAAAAATAATATATCACAAAAAATAAAATATCTACCTACGTAAAAATTATATATATATATAAGTAGAATTATTTTCACATAAATAGAAAATCGTTATTAATTATTTTACCGTCGGATGAAATTTCTTTCCAAGGTGTAGGCGGATACATAAATGCAGCATTTTGAATTTGTTCGTTGATATCTTCTTCCTCGTTGAATGGAAATGTACCGCTTAAAGATACGTAAATAATAACTCCTACGCTCCACATATCCAAAGAACGATTGTAGCCCTTATTTCTCAATACTTCGGGTGCTAAATACGCCGGTGTTCCGACAACGCTTCTCCGAAAACTTTTTTCTCCGATAATTCGTGCGAAACCAAAATCACAAAGTTTCACTTGAGTAAATTCATTGTCACTACTGAGTAAAACATTTTCAGGTTTTAAATCGCAATGGACTATATTTTTACTGTGTAAATGCTTTAGGGCAACCAAAATTTGAGTTATAAGAAATTTCGTTATTCTTTCACTGAGGCGTCCCTTCTCCGAATTTAATATCATCTCTAACATATCACCTTTCAATTTCTCCATAACAACAAATATTCTTTCTGGTGTTTCGAACATACGTTCCAAATTGACGACCCCGCTGTGAGATAGATTTTGTAAAATAGCCACTTCATTCTTAAGTTGTGCTTCTTGTTTGGTAGGAAAACGTAATTTATCTATTACTTTGATGGCAACTGCTCTACCACTTTTACGATGTACACCACCATAAACTATACCAAATTGTCCTGATCCTAAAACTTCGTCGGGAAATATTTGATATAATTGTGACATGTCAGTTATATTTTCTTCAGGTTCTGTAGATTCCTCTTGATCTGCTACTATATAAACGAAGTTTATTTTATAAATATACTTTCTATATTTATTTTTAATATATAAATAAGATCAAAATAATCTGTACGTACTAGTGGAAGCTGTAGTTACTGGCATAAGTGCTTGTCTAATATTAGTTTCCCATGATCTAGCTACGTGTACACCTATACCACTTTCCGGTGCTGGAACTTGACCATTGTTTTCACCATATGTAGGATCTTCTCCGACGAAATAATCAACAGTTGATGTTTTTAACTCAAAACAATGCATTATACCTAAAATCAATATTTTTCTTTCATAAATAATTAAAATCATGTGTTTGATTATATTAGAAACATTAATTTATATTTAACACTCACGCGAACGATGTATCTTAGCTGTTTCAATCGACAAAATTTCAGCGAGTGGTATTTCTTTGTAATACTTAGAACTACTATCACTTTGGAAAAGTGTTATAGCCTTTGTATCTAGTCGCCAATAATGTTTTTTCCTCTGTAACATTCAGTATCGTTAATTTAAGTCCCAACAAAATTTTATCATCGTCAACTCACCACTGAATCACGATTCGTAAAGTGTACCATCCAACCTTCTTTCAAAACTTTCGAACCACGTCGTTTTGTATGTTTAACACTCTGAACTATACGCATTAATGGAATGTTGTTACTTGGAGTAGAACTGCAACTGATGATATATATAAACAAACATTATTTTACAACTTTGGAAATTAGTAATTTTAAAAAATAAAAGGAACATACCTAGATGGTCTGGATTTTTGGAATTCATCGTAATTAACATCTTCATTCGTTTGTATGTGATCCTATAAAAAATACAATAAAAGTATTATCTATTATTTTAAGTTTATATACATTATTATTTAATAAACTAATATTTACTGTATACTCATCAGGAGCTTTATTTTCATCCGTTATGTATGTGGACAATTTAACTGGTAAAAGTAATTCTGTATCGCTGTCTCCATCACCTTCTTCATTTCTGCCATCGCATTTACCTTCTGGTTCGCTACCAACACCACTGTCAGGATATTCATTACCTAAAACAATATATCATAGATTGTTAAAATATATTTTCAAAAGTAATAATAATTGATATAGATATTTTGTGTACCAGTACTGTCGCGTGGATTCTCTCCAATACAATCTTTTGGAATTTTTTCAATACATTTTTTATGAGCATTGCACTGACAATCTTTACATTGTAGGCCTTGCTTGAATAAGCCTCTTAATAATTTTTTACAATGCCCACAGACCGTTGGACGTGTGTAAGTGTGCAATACGAATGTATGTGGAATTTTAATACGAGTTGCAACCTCTTTTTCAACCCAAATTGTTTTTCCACTCAATGACGGTGAACGAGATTGTTTAGGAGTGACTATGCTTGGAACTGCCTATAAAAAAATAAATCAAAGCTATGTATAAAAGTTAAATACAAAGTATGAATACGGAGGAATTAAGTAAACTAATTATTACAATGTCATGATATCCTTACCAAAGTATTATTACTTTGATTTACATTGGGTATGTTATTTGCACTATGATTGTCATCACTAATGCTAGTCAAGCTACTTGTAGAACCTTGACTTGGTGATCTTGGCACATTTAACATTGCAGAACTACGCCGCCTTTGACTGCTATCTTGTGAACAGTTATTAGGTACTTTAGTAACACAGCGTTTATGATAATTCATACCACAACCTGTTAAATAAGAGAATATATTATTCAATGTCCTGTATATAATAAATTAAAAAATATTACATATTTACCTTCACACTTAAGACCCTGTCGCACAAGACCGAACAGCATCTCTCCACAAAAATCACAAAATGTTGGAACCTTATAAGAATGAACTGTTAAAGCATGAGGACGAATGGGAACATCTTCGCTTGGCACTTGAGCTAAAATTTCATACATATTAGAAAATGTTTCAATATTTTCAACATTAAATTTAAAGAGAGAGCAATCTCTGCAAAAGAAATTATTTTAATATAAACATAATAATAACAATATTTCTAACTTACCAGTAAGAACAATTTCAACTAGTGTTTCGTCCACTACATCCATCGCATTGGTTATTAATTGTAAAATATTAGTAGAACTATAATCATGCTTGAACAGAAGTAATCTTTCATACAGATGACTTAACCCGTGATCTGGACACTTGGCATTTATAAAGTTACAAGCAAAATCTTTTAAAGCTTTTAGTGTTAACGTGCTAGCTTCTACGGTGACTGTGTCACGAGTTAAACCAAATTGAAATAGAAATGTAACTTCTGGTCCCTCCATGTTTTTACTGGTTTTTATCTGCAAACCCAAACAATTATTTTAAATACGTAGAAAAGAATTTATTGAAAGTATATCATTAAAAGAACATTGACATGCTTCTATGCTGGAAACTTAAAATTTCAAAAATATAAAGCAACTTTATAATCATACAACGAATGTCTATGAAAACAAATACAAAAATGCATACAACAGTTCTGCTTAAAAAGTATATGCTAAGAAAATACTTTGAAAAAAAAAAAAAAACCATGCTCAAACGATACAACACAGATATAAAAGAAAATTGAAAAACTATGAATTATAAGAAACACACTCTATACATGGATGTAATGCTGATTAGAATATTCAGGATCAATCCTATATCTGTCATTAACTGAAACATCTGTCAAAAAGTTGGAAGATCTCTTGGTATTGCTGTGGGAGTATCTGATGCATTTTTGAAGAAAAACAATTGTTCTATAACAGGATATAAAAAAGAACAAATGGAAGAGAGAACAATGTTTTTAATAATATTGTATGTTTTTATGCGCGTGTTTGTTAACATTCTTTCTTTCTTTCTTATTTCTTAAAGAGTACGAGTAATTAAAAAAAAAAAAAAGAAAAGAAAGTAATTGTATTAAATAAAAAACCACAGAGAACGTTTACGTACTTAAATTCGTATTAAATTCGAGTATTCCTCAATTATCGTCAAGTTAAATTGAAAATTGCGGGATTTTCGAGTCGATTGTTTCCACAAGTGTCATCGAGGAGCGTCAACTCCATGCCTGACACACATTCGTCAATGACATTTTACAGTTATCTCTGACCGACCCACCTTGACATAAACTTTTAGCATTCCCAGTTATTATTATTGGTTAAAATTTCGTATGATTTATAAAATAGATAATATTATTTTCAATCAATATATTAAAATATTTTATTATTACGATTAATCATTAGGTTGTGTACTACCTTTAGTTTAAGTTTAACTTTTAAAACAAATCAATGGATTTACGTTAGCGACATGTATATGTCACTAACACACAGATTTAAGTTAACATGCTAATCCCAACTTTGTTGGATATCGGTACGCTTGGGGATTTTAGAATCCCCTTTATATTAAACACATACCTGTGAATAGTGAGAAAGAAAGATAAATAGATAGAGAAAGAGATAGAGAGTATGGTTGTACGCATGAATCGTATGCATGTGTATAAGGGAACCAATAAAAAATTCTTGCCAAAGCAACGTCACCAAAAAGCGTATGATTTAAAAAATTCTTATCTTTCTAGATAGATTGGACAAGTATTTGGTTATCCATTCGGTAAGAAAATAATAAATGTGTTGTAATTAATCGTAATATGTTACACTATATAATACCAGATTTAACACTTTACCGTATAAAAAAAAAAAATTAATGCAAACAATGTAACAGACTTTGGTAATGGTAACGTAATTATACTTTCATTGATAAATATATATATATATATATATATATA